TGTAAAATGTGTGGAAAAGAGAGTGAGACAATTGGATATTTACTGAATGAATGTGATATACCTAATGAAGGAAAGCAGGATAAGCAAAAAAAAAATTATTAACTAGCACTACTAGCAGTGGAATTTAAAGTTTATTATTTTTTTTAATATATTTTCAAACATTATTTCTTTTTATTGGAATTATTGGAATTTTTGAAAAATTTGTTGTAACAACGGCAAACTGCTTCTCGTTATCTTTGAGTGAGATGAGGTAAAGATTGTCCTGGCATTTTGATCTCAAAACTTTGCTTATTAAAAAAAAATATCCAGAAAAATTTCTTTTGAAAAATACAGGTTTTCTAAAAGGAATAAACGTGGAACAGAAGGGACAATAGGAGAGAAAAAGTACAAAATCTATTAAAAGCGACAATTGTCACAAATTTTCTTCAACCTCAGTGGGTGCAATCAATCGTACAAAAATGAACAACCTAGAACTCTCAAAGTACAAATATGTCACCTTAAATCTAAATTTCCATGATCTACCGAGATGTCAATTATTTTGAAACGCAATATAAACATTTTTTATGTTCCTGGTAAAGACAAGAGTCTTACTTGAAATTTTTCTTTGGGGCGCGAGTTCAGGCGCAGTAGTACCTATTTTGTATTAATTAATAATAGGAGTACTTTCTAAACTGTTGATATCATCCGTCATCATGTTGTTATTTTACTGCTGTCAATTAAAGTTATCTCCCAGAAACATGAAAATAAACATTACATGAACTTGTTGAAGAGCTTTTGGGAAGTGTTTGTAGGTATAGTGCACTTCCGGTTACATTTGACTCATTCAATGACTCCAACAGACCAGACACATGTTATTATAGTGTTTATGGCAATAATGTTTAAAGTGTAGACATGGTAAACAAACAGAGCTTCCATATTTTTTTCGAAAAATTTTTATTATTCCAAATACAGGGTTATTATAAATGATTGTAACATCCAGTCGCCTTCGAAGTTTTTGATTATTGTACTTTCAATACTACCTTTGACCCAATAAAAAAATTGACAGTTGTCCGTTTGTAGCCGTTTATTTACAAATTTTGGATACAAATTGCATTTCTATTTTCTTACTTGAAAGTGACAAGATCATTTATGCGATTCTTAAGATTTAATGGAATTTAAATTTTGAAATAAAACCTAAGAATACACAGTTAACTGTTTGAGTTGTAAGTGGATTCAATAAATTGGGAAACGGCAAATTTTCTTTTGTTTTCCATCTTATAATCATTTATAATAACGTCCAGATTCACTGGACGTTTTAATTTTGTATCTTCTGTCAACAAGTACAAGTTGGTATAATTTGTCAAACTTGTGCCTTCACAAGTTAACTTCAACAGTCATTAAAAACTTATTGCACTTTGGTCCAGTTCATTTTATTTATTCGGTAATGAAACGGTAAACTGGTCCTAAAATGTTCGACCACTTTCACTCCATCGACGAAAAAGCCGTCGTCACATCAAGTTTTTCGATCTGGTTGTCGGGTCATCACTGACCTTGGTTCTCCGTCTGCTTGTTTTATTTCTGCACAAATCGCGTCCTTCGACGCCAGTTGAATGTTAAAGTCAAGTTGCCCCTTTGCCACCGGTCACCTCGCCCTCTCCACATTTCCCTCGCCGTTTATTGGATATTAGGACTGGAGTCTTGGACCGGAAATTGCTAGATTGTGATGAGGACAGATCGCCATCTTCTAAAATCGCACAGTATTTATAGAATATCAGGTGGACGACAGCCAAACGCTACATATATTTAAATTATAAGATAAAATGATTTTTTTAATTATTAATAAAATTTTGATGTAGTTAATTTAGCCAATGTAGGCAATTTTGTTGAAAGTTAGTGCTTCAAATTTTGATCAAAATATAGAAAGAGATTCAAATAAAACTATAAGTTGTAAAACGTAACCTAAAATACAGTACATGTAAGTACAGGGTGTTTCACATAACTTTACGAGGCCTGCGCCTGTAAGATGCAATCAATAATACTTGTTCCGATACGAACTCGATTACAAATTTTGAAAAATTGGATAATCTTCTCTAGTTTGTTCACCCTTTCAAAAATTACAATATTTTTAATTAGTTAGTGATTAAGATAGATAAACTAGAATCATATTTATGCCGTCTATTGATAGAACAAATGATAATTGTTTCTGAAAAACTGCAGTTTATGACTATTAATAAAATCGTAATTAGTTTGACAATAACTACTACAACAATTAAATAATTAAATGTGTATTTTTTGTATCTAGTGTTTTGTGAATTTTGTATATTTGGGTGCGTACATTAGGCACAGGCCTCGTAAAGTTGTGTGAAACACCCTGTACATTCACAAAATAATAGATTCAAAAATTAGTTTTTATTTAATAACGTTTTGGACGTGCTGGGTGCAATGCTTGTCAGTCTGTCAAAATGGTTGTATCCAAAGTTCATCAGACTCTCAGTTTTATACGAATCACCCTGTAATAAATGTTTTTACGGATGTCTATACGAAATTTGATAAATGTTATCGTCTTGACTTTGGGTTGTGCTACTAAATTAAAAAATGAAGGACCTTTTCTCACAAATAAAACACCCATCTTTTATATTCTTGTAATGGGTACTGTAACAATGTTAATTCTCGTTGCGCAGGTGTTTTCTCATGTTCTTACACCGTAACTGAGATCAAATTACAGCCACGTAACATGATTTATAATTTAACAGATGTTGATATTTTAATGCCGTTAAGTTTGCCACGGGTTGAATTTCAATTATCTTTGGTGTTGTAAAGTCGTCTTCAATCACGTCTGATCAAGTGACAAATATGGTGAGACATTCATTGCCAAGGTCGTAGAATAAAACAAACCAGACACAAAGGACGATAATAAGGTTCAGTTCGTTCAAGTTCTCACAATTTTAATTGAAAATAATACAACAGACAGATGATAATTTTCTTCTAGACTGGAAGTTCATAATTATGGGAGTTTGGACTTATTGTCTTCATTTTACACCAGGAATATGCGAACTGTGAAAACTTGGTGGTAATCAAACTACCAATGATTGATTCAAGAGTGAATCGAAACAAAAAAATTATGGGAACAAACTAAATGCACTGTATTTTATTTAAATGTCAAGTATTTTTGTTCAGTAAAAACAGTGAATGTTCAATAGAAGTAATGAAAAGTTCAGTTAAGGAATAGATGTTCATAAAAAATAATACAGGGTGTCAAGTAAGGAACATGGAAAAAATATTTAAAAAATACTGATGATCTTATATAAGTTTTTTTATAATTATTTGGTAAAGATACAAAAATGTTGCTAAGAAAAGCCACAAATAACATAAAACTGAGTTACAATTTAGGTTACACCTTCCTTGTTTCCTCTTCTAATAGCCTGTAGCAAAAATACTTGGAAAATTATTTTTTCAACAAAAATAAAGAGTCAACGTGCAAAATTTAAACTCTCATAACTCTCATAAATTTTTGTAGGTAGAATTAAAAAAAAAATATGTTGCTGGTATTTTATCGCCATTGCTGTATGAAAGAGTGGAGCTTCTTGCCTCAAAATTTGTCAGTAGATTCAGTTGTAACACAGATTCTTCTTTTACACAGAAATAAAATGTTTCTAACCTATTTCACCTCAAAAAACGCAGTTGCAACGTTGCCAGGATGGCGATGGCTAAGGCACGGGTAATATCATTTATTATTTGTACTGTGCAAAATAATCAAAATATTATACTCATCAATACCGCTCATTTATCATTTTATACCGAACAAAATCGACTTGTTTACTGAACGCCTTATTACTACCCAAAATTTGTTCTAAACGAACTAGACTTCTGAAAATATTAATACATACATTCTTATGTGGAGGGTTATTGTGTGTTGCATTTTATTTTGTTGACATCTTAGTGAATCACCTGGCATATTAAAAATTGGTATACTGTTTTTAATGTTCTTGATGCATTTTACCAAAATTTTGTTTACATTAAAGTAAGTATAACAGGCTCGATTTTTTTACAATACTTTAAGATTTTACAGACCAGTGAATCAGAAAAACGCAAGTTGCTTCTAATATTAATTAAACACTAAAGTTAACTGTGCTGAACTAATCGTTGAACACTCCAACTGTATGAGCTGAGCATTAAAGAAAGTCGGTTAGTGGGTAAAAAATACAGATCTAGATTGGTTTCTTTTTTAACCAGCGGTAAAGAGCTTTAATTACATTTTTGAGTATAAACCTTTTTAATTACAAGTTGTGAAACATCTTTATTGTGCTAAAATCTCAGCAAATACTTACAGCATTTAATTATTAAGTAAAACTGGTAGCGTTGAGTAAATTTTTTACAGTTGGGACTCACTAACGAGTAATTACTAGTTTGCCAGTGGAGATCATTTTCTTAGTCTTCTTTATTTTCTAAAAGTGTGCAACAGCATCCTGTTTTACATTATGCAGCATGCAACAGAAAAATTTGATTAAATTTACCATTTGTACTGCGTTGGATTTAAATAATAAATTTAATTATTTCTATCTCATCGTTTGAGTAATAATAATAATAATAATAATAATAATAATAGTTCGTAATGAAATTTTATCAAAGCTGTTAAGATGAAGCTGTCAATATTCAGAAAGATGCAATTTCGGATTAAGAGCGAGGATTTGCTTTGAAGTAGCTTGTTAAAAATTCCGTGGCGTTGTGGTCGACTAAAAGTGAATATGTTTTTGAAACTTAATAAAATATCTAGTAGATGGCAGTAAAACGGCACGAAGAGAGTACTTCGTTTTTATTGGCTAGTTACAACCCTTTTTCTTACTACAATAGGCTAGCACTATTTTGCCATCTATTTCCAAACCCTCGAACTACAAAACTTAGTAGATGTTTTATAATATACCCTGTGGTCACGAGTTACTGGGAGCAAAACAATGAACTTTTTTTTCTGCTGATTATTTCAATAAACTAGTATAACTATGTTATTATTTCTAATTGTGCTAATCCAAGTCTTTGTTGTAAAAAATATGAACGGTTTCTAGTCAAGAAAAATGTTTATTCTAACATCTAAACAATTTTTACATTGTTTTTATACCTTGAGTTCAATTAAACTTCTGATCAAAGTGACCTGTGACTTTGAAATGAAGTTTGAAGAATCTTCTGCTTCTGTGTTAGTTGTGTCAGAAAAAAATTGGATTTATACTTTTGGACCACACTTGTACAGTAGTACAGCAAGAGTATGCTGTTCAAGCTGGGTGATGCTGGGTGTGCAGTAATAATCTGGTTATAAGAGAAATATAAGATCAGTTGGAAACATTCATATGCTCTAATTTACGACGGTAATAAAATAATTGTAGGCTAAAGTCGTTTTGAAATTTAAATTGTGCTAATGTTTTACTACATCCTACGCATGTATCTTTAGCATTGCTTAGTATTCGATGTAAATGATTTGATTTTTTTTTGTAATTACTGATTATCAAAAAACTTGGCCAGTAAGTTTTTTTCCTACAACCAATATCTTAAAAAGTTAGTTTACAACAATCATCTTTGCTAAGAAAGTTTTTCTTTTTGTTGTTAAGGCAAAACTAGAATGAAAATTAAAGTTTCTGTGTAAAAACAACAAATTTTATTGTGTTGGATAGTTGGCATCTTGTTTTGACATATTAAAATTTCATTTTGATTGTGACTATGCTGTTAATGGTAATTAATTCATAAAGATCGTAGAAAGGTAATTTTGTTATAAGTTTTCTTCATGCTGTCGGCCTCGTGCGCAACACACACTCGCATGAAAAAATTGTTTTTTTAACACTTTTAAATATATCATCTATATTTAAGACATTTTCAGGTTTTTATCATTGTTTTCAAAAATCTATCATAAAATCATTTGAAATCAGTAAAGAAATAGAAATTGTACTTACAATCAAATACCTTCTGTACTTCAGATTATTTTTTTTATATTTTTAAACCAAATATGTAGTAACTTTTTTTTAACACTGTTTAAAATCAAAAATAAACTGTTATTAGTGTTTCCTGCACTGATGTCTTTATGGTTGTTGGTTTTAGATTTTATCTGTAGTTAAATCTTATTAAAGTTTAATAAATTATCGATTGGAAATTTAATTTTTTCATCACAAACACAGCACTAACGCTTTTCTGTCATTAATTATCAACAGATTTGCGATAGCTGATGCAGTTGAAACGCAGATAATAATTGGGAAATAACGGTGAATATGCTGCAATTTATTTAAGAACGGTTACTTTTAATTTCTCCGAAAAACTAATTTGTTTCAGTTTCATTTTGGTCTTGTTAAAAAAATAAAGAAACTAAAGGTGTGTTGAAATTAATTAAATGTAACTACTTCAAGTTTTTTGGTTACCAGATCTGTGTTTGGGGAAGGCAGTTAAATTTGGAACATCCGGTACTTATAGTCAATCACTGTGATAAAGCTGAGCTAATGTTATCACAGCATCTAATTTTACAGATGTTGCTTTTTAATTTTTCAAACGTTTTTGCCCACATCATCGGGTTATGAAACGTACAGAATGGAAGCAGTAATTAAATCATTCTTATTGCACTATTGTTGCTCAATTTCCAATGACATTGCATAATTCGAGGAGATAATGATTCCAGTGGAGACTATCTCGCAACAGCTCGCAGCATTCGTAAACAATAACTCAAATAATAATAAAAGCCAATGGGCAGCTGCTACTTTCTCATAAAAAATAAGCTAGAAAGTGCCAAGAACTATAATAGTTTAGGTGGAATCTTCCTCGAAAACATTTCGAACATTTTTAGGAAATCACATCAAAACTCATGTATGTCTCATTTTGCCTCGCCACGCTTCTGTTACCATATCTAAATTTGTTCATCAAAGAGCCAAAATTCACTGAAACTCCACCAAAACATTATTCTCGTCTCATAAATCTCGCAGCGGTCATCTATCTCCAAGACCTGAAACCGTCATGTCTTTTTTAATCGGATTTGGCTGCGACTGTATCTAATTGGAATTTTTACCTGTTTTTTGTAGGTACACGTAGCATCCTATTTTTAACCCGTTTAGAAGTAAGATGCGGTTGCAACTTAAATAAACCACTTAGAGAATTACTAGCAATTGAACGGTTGCTCACACAAAACAGTTTAATAACAAAGCCAACAGTGGCCAGTGTAATGAGTAATGTAAATTTACGCAATATTGCATTGTTCTTGTATGAGTAAGAGGTTTTATCTTGGAACATTCTTGAGGAGTTGGGAATACAAACACATAAGCGTGACCGCAGTCCCGGGTAATTGCTTTGGAATTGCCTGGAATGGAAGCATTGTTGGAATAACTCCCAGTGCACCAGAAGAACATTTGACAGCAACTAAATGAACATAATTAGGCCTGACTCTAAGGCAATATGATATATGAAATTGTTACTGTGAGTTATGTTTCAACATATTGATAAATTCTTTACCAGAATAAGGAAATGCGTTCGCTATAATTGCTTTTCACAGACGTGAAAATATTTATGTCTTATCAGGTGAAGAAAGAGTTATGTACTTTCAACATTCTTTGATAGTTTCTAGTTTATATAAATCAAAAAAGTTTATCATTATGTCATCATTACAAAGTAAAAGAAATAAATTTAACGTGTGAAATTGTCAAGTTACAATCATCGTTTTGCTAAAGTAGTGCGAACAATTTCATTCAATTTGTTTTAGAAACTAAGTGTTTTAACGACCAATAAATATGCATATGTGTGGGTGTAGATACGGTTTATGTCAATAGTACGACATATTGTAAATTCTTAATCTTTAAATAAACAACAGCTGAAAAACAAGGCGTAAATAAAAATTGCACAACTTACAATTAACATTTATTCACAATCACTATAGTAATATGCTGATTTATAATATTTTAGAGGTTAGGAAGTACGTCATTTCATCTCTTGGGTGGGAAGTGATTTATGTAGGATTGCGGACATATTTCTTTCAAATTGTATAGTTACGGTAATTGCTAAATCATAATCTGTGATTTTAGACTGCTTCTTCAATGGCCGCTTTTTTAAGTTCAGGCGAAGTATAATGCTACATTGGCACTGTTAGTTTTCAAACATCACGATAAACAATGATCAGTTATTGTATCGAACAACATTTTGTTTTATTTTACTTATCAAATTTCAAAACGCAATTTATTTGCGTAGCCTACTACTATGTCAACGGATCAACCCTGTTAGAAAAACGAATATTTTATTACAAATAGTGTCATTGTATTTTTAAATGGTTTAATATATTAGTACCTATGTAATAAACATATTGCCTTCAAAGCCATGTGTTCAAAGTTTATGTTGATATTTGGCAGTATTGAAAGCAACTGTTCAATCTAATTAGTCACCTTTTGACTATTAAGACGTCGCGTTCGTTAATACAGGGTGCGCCAGAACTCGCGTCCTAGAGAAAAATGCCATATAAGGTAAGATACCAGGAACATGGAAAAAATGTTACAAAAAATTATCTATAAAAATTTCGAAGTTATGAAGGTTTAAAGTTTGCACTTTGACTCTATTTATTTCTGTTGGAAAAATAATTTTCCAAGTTTTTTTGCTATAGGCTATTAAAAGAGGAAACAAGGAAGCTGTATCCTAAATTGTAACTCTGTTCAATGTTATTTGTGGCTTTTATTGGCAATTTTTTTAACTTTACTAAATAATTATAAAAAAAACATACCTATACAAGATCATCAGTATTATTAAATAGACATAAAAAAAATCTCAAATGTCAAAAAATAAATGTCAAAATTTTTTAAACATTTTTTCAGTACTTTGGGGGACTACCCAGTTTACTCCCTTGCAACTATCCGGACACGCTGTATTTAGAAGTGCCTCAAAAATTAGCAAAACACCTTTATGATACATTATTATAACGCACGATGTAATAGATATAAAAAAATGTCAAATGTCAAAAAATAAATGTCAAAATTTTTTGACAAATAGAATTTTTTAAACATTTTTTTCATGTTCCTGGTATCTTACCTTACTTGCAAATTTTCTCTGAGACGTTATTTCTGGCGCAGCCTGTATATCTATTAGAGAATCTAAATGGATGCAATTTAGAAAACAGGATATTATGATACGAGTTTTATAAAAAGCATTTTGTCGCACGCACGGGTTTAGAACACGACGACGTAGCGAGGAGTGTCATAAAGAAGTAAGTGCGAAAAAATGCCTTATAAACAAAATATTATACAGTATTTTTTCTACTTTGGACTTTTTTAAACAAAAATGTTATTAAAAAATTTAAAAATCGGAATGTAGGGATTTTGCGGCAGTGGCTAGGTGGCCATGAAATAAATTAATTTGAAACGTCATTATTCGTAAAATTCCAAAGGTGTCGAAGACGTTTTGCAATATACGCCTCTGGAAATACGGACCTTGGGGGCAAATACAATGAATAATTTACTCTCTGTGAGATCACGCCAAAATTGTTCAGTAAGTTGACGGCAAAACCTACCTAACCTCAAAAGTCTCAAAAGTTACTTTGTCCTAAGACTTAAAGGTATGCGTAAGCACCAATATAGTTATAATGTTGGTTCTGAATATTTTTGCGATGATTAATTAAACCAAAAAGAGCAAAAATTTCGTATTTGCGTTAGGCCGATTGACAACTGAGAGAAACGGTTAGGTCGCCAACATTATAAGACTAAATTTCCCTTTTTTAAGTATAATTGTTATAGTACTGTTTTTGTTCAGTACGATACTCAAAACTGTTTCGTACTGGCTTTAGTACGAACGCAAAGTAGAAAAAAATAATTTTTGAGTTTCAATTTTTATTTCACAATACTTATATCATGATTCCACAGGTTCAATTTTTTCTTTTTTAGTATAAAATTTTTATTTATGTATGTATTTACATTTATACCTTTACTTGATAGGTATTTGTCATAAAATGTTTATACATAGAAGGTGTCAAAAACGAAAGTACAAATGATTCACACCCTGCCGATGTTTTTCAGACTAAATAAAATTTAGTCTCAAAAACATTGTACAAGCAATGGTTTGCTTGTCTTTTAGCAAATAAGAAATGTCTTAATATTTTTCATGTAAATTATGACAGGAAACCGTGGTACATATGAATAAATACCATGAGAGAATTTTAGCAGGTTTTAAGGGGTTTCATAGAATAATTAAACTTGCTTGTAAGATCAATATTTCGATTTATAAATTATTTTTTTGTTATCTAGTTAACATACGAACTGTCATGAGACATCATACGTCTTCAACTAGTAGGTACGCCTACTTGATGAAGGATTTTTTTATCGCATTGTATACAGGGTGATTCATCTTAAATGACTACCTGACCCCTCTTGGCAGACAACACATAATACATTAAGCACTTATTCCTTTATTCAAAATTAAATTTTCAAAATGCCGAGAATCAGAGAATGATATTTTTCGACTCATGAAACTTTCAAAATTCGAATATGAATCAAGGAATAATTGCTTTGGTGTATTATAGGTTGTCTGCCAAGAGGGGTTTAATAAGCTGAATCACTCACACATATAAAAAAAGATGAAATTGTGAAATTAGCAGAAAGCAGAAAACTAAATGAATCTGTAATTTTTAGACAGCAATTAATAAATGCTTACAAATGAAAGGCGGATAACAATCTGTAAAAACCGGTAAAATTGTATGTTATACGGCGAAAGCAACGGATAGAAATAGAGTGTGCACTTCGAAATTCCTTCCTGCATTTTAAACGGTATTGAAGGAACACTAATACTTCGTGCATTCACAATATCTCAAGTATTTGAAATTACCCATAGTAACGTGATAGGAATAAAACATTACGTAAATCACACTTAGATATTAAAAGAAAATTGGTTATTAGTGAACCAGTAAATAAAATTCTAGTTAGAATTTAAGCGAACGGTTGATTTCTACTTCACTAGTTGTGAATTAGTTGTAAAATTCATCATAATAAGGTATAACGGCGATATTCACAGCGCTATATAAGTTGCATGTAATAATATGATATTCTATTATAATGAAGAGAGAAAATACGCTTATTATGAACCTGGTTTGTTCACTGGGTCATTAGAAATAATGAGCGTGACTTAAATTTAATCGTACTATTGACGTCAAAAAAATGGAAATACTAATTTTTATATTTTGTAAACAGGTCTTTTATGTCATTGTATCACAGGCGTGCAGTACTATATTACCCAATTAATAAGAAGAGACCAACTGTTCTTCCTCAGTAATTAAAGAAATCTGCAAGATTTTCTGAACCTACTTCACATATTTCAATTTAAATTTTACCAATCTAGTCTTCAAATATGCATGTTTCAGAACCTATGAAACGCTACTAACTTGGTGACGTTTCTCTACGTCAACCTGACAGGAATGACTTAATTACAGAAGTTAAAATCTTGGTGTTTCCATTTTTTTGACGCTTATAGTACTATCGCATCGCTTTTCCATTTCCAAAGATGATTGTTTCTTAGATTTTTTTTATTTAGAAACTGTAAATTTTAACATTTTATTAAGAAAGAAAGAAGAAAGAAATAAAGAAAGAAAAAGCTCAATTCGTTTCGTTCGAATTAACCGTAAGTCTGGATTAGCTAGGTCCCCGGTATGCCTAGACTCAATTTAAAATCAAAGATACTTTTTTTATTTATTGCCACATATTCCTAGTGACAATCAATTTTTGACGTGCTATTGCCGATTGATTTTCTCGGCTTCTCAGAGATTGGTAAGCTAATCTTTGAAAAATGTTGTATTTTTGAAAATAACTATGTGGATCTAAAAAGCACCTTATGGTTCTTTTGAATCAGTCGCTGAAGAGATCAAAAAGAAATTGTCTTTTCTACTTGAGAGTTGAAAATTTATTAATATTGTAAAGTCGCGGTCAATTCATAGTGGCCTCCCCTAGCCCGCCACCTCTAGGGTGTGGGTTGTGTCAATGTTGCCAGCAGAAGTAACTAAATTGTGTTAACAATTGTGACAGGCGCAATACATGTTATATGTGAAGTATTCTAACCCAACTTTTCCAAATTGTCATTTTTGATAGATATGTCCCTAAAAAAACAATTGGATGTTTAAAGTCGGATTTACGCAACCCAATTTTTACAAATTTACACAGGGAAGTGGCCACTATGATACTATGAATTGACCACGACTTTTTTATTTTTAATAGTTAAAAGTTGTGACTAGTTGCTGTTTTCAGATTCTAGTTGATTAGGTAGTGGTTCAGGTTTTTATATTAATTAAAATTATATTTAAATTAAATGTTCTGGATGGGAAGCTAATTTTTTTGTTCATTATAGGTATAATTTAAATTGTTGTATGCATTCTACGAGTATATTTTTGGTTGATTTTAAGAATCTTGAATTGTTTAGTTATACCTTTCGTCGTTAATATCAGAAATTTGAATGTTTCATTTAAATGTTAAGCTTTGAAATAAATTATAATTAATTGCGTTGCTCTTTCCTTATTCAATCTAAACCACTGCATTTTCCTCACAAGCAGTGACATTGAAATTTTCTATTCATTTATTCATCACCTCTAATCTTGGCGAATGTCATCCTCTGTAAACAATAAGTTGAACAAGAATGGCAAATAATACCGCCGGTAGTTCAAAGCAATTCGAAAGAATCATAAATTACAATTTTATGCATTAATTCAAGCGTAGAAATTCCTCGTGCATATCTAAGAGCTTTCGTCTTTATCTTCAAAAATTTGTTGCAGGAACGCGGCTGGGAGTACAAACAAATATGCGTAACCCGGGTTCCGGGCTATGGATTTGGCATTGCCGTTTCCGGCGGCAGAGACAATCCGCATTTCGCCTCCGGTGACCCCAGCATCGCCGTCAGTGATGTCCTGGCGTCTGGTCCAGCTGAAAGAATTTTGCAGTAAGTTGAGGATTGTGGTTGGGTCTGTGGTTTTATTGTCGTTGCGCTAGGGTCAACGACAGGATTATTTCCGTGAATGGAATCTCCCTTCAGAATGTTGATTACGCCACGGCTGTTCAAGTGCTGAGGGATTCTGGAGATACAGTGACCTTAGTGATTAAGAGGAGGACGACTCACCATCAACATAGTCATAGTCTCAGTGCGTCCTACACTGGAGCACCGCTTGCAGCCTTAGGAGTTAACCCCTTGGCAACAAAGGTCACTCTTACCAAAAATTCAAAGAAAGAAGGTGAATAAGGTTTTTTGCGTTTTCTGTTTTAAGTAGTAGGGAAAGGAGGGGCAAGACGGGGACCTTAGCGTTTGAAGTCGAATAAAAAACTAAATATACATCAGAGAAGTTCGAAACTCTATTTATCAACTTAATCAGTCTTCTCTCTATTAGACTATAATAAAAAAAATATAACAAAAATAATTATTTTTTTAAAATAACGATAAAAAGAAACAAAAATACTTTTACCCCATCTTGCTCCACCCTTGGGGTAACATGGGGTCCCCCATTGGGCAAGATGGAGTACTACAGTTTTAAAGACTGCGTCTTCATCGTCGTCATCGACGCCAGCGCAGCCGTAATGTGCCTATTTCCCACATAGCTGATGCATCACACATCCTTCTTTGCTGTAGCAATTATCTTGGATCTCGATTTGGGCACAATAAATAATCCAGTTTCATCACAATTATAAATTTTATCTGGAGTAAATTTATATTCATCCAGAGCTTTTCCTAACAGTTGAAAAAACTTTCCCACCGACACTTTATTAAATCCCGCAAGTCCAACAGCAGAAGTATTTTCTGGTTTCCGAAGACTTATTTCTGGATGACGCTTAAGAAATCTCTTATCCTAATCTTTACCAGCTTTTGCCTTGACTTCACTGAACTTATGTTTCTTATTATTGACAACTGCCAATTAATATGCCCCGTACCCCATTTTGCCCCAACGGAAACTTGTAGGTAAAAAAAAAATAATTTTATAAACGAACAAGTTATCGTGTAAATATTTAGTCTAAAATCAAGAAAGTAGAGGGATTGCAATGAAACGATGTTGTTTACAACACAACCTATGTATTTCTGACAGTCACGTTCGAAACACAATAGAAAAATAACATCAAATAATTAAAAAATCATTTTTTACTCATGTGTTATGCTCAGGTTCTCGCTTTTGCCGCAGTGAAAAGTTTTGAGATACTTCTACGAAATAACCTTAACAGTATTATCAAAACTGTTTTTGTTTTTGAGGTATAGTGGTAGTATACCTTGCTACCCCGTCTTACCTCTCCTTCCCCTAATTCTGCTTTATCTCTAGTAGAATACGTTAAAACCAACAACTTTTATTTCATACAGGGTAAATAAATAGTATGAAAACAAGAGTTTTCAGCATTTAAAAAATAATAATTAATAAAAATTAAAGTGCTATAAAAATGTGATCGTGTTAATAAATGAAATTTTGTTTTGTTTTTGAATTTTGTTTTTTTTTTCAAAATGGCAACATCAATAAAAATTGACTAAAATGCAGATAGTTGTAATCCTTAGATCATAGTCTTTTATAGTGAGTTGACATTTGAACAAACTGAAAATTTTGTAGAACTCAAAAACAATAAAGTTTAGAAACATTTTATTCTCGAGAAACGTGACACTTTATCATGAATTGATGAATCAATTAGTTTTTTCAAAAAAGAATTTTTTTTAAGCACTTGTTCACTTAGTAGATTCAGGGATATTTTATAACTCTGAATATTGCCCCTATATTCTGTTAAAAAAAAAAACACAAAAATCAATGCATTGCTGCTATTCAGTGATAGATAAAGTTGTAGAGCTGAAATCGTTATAGTGTTGCGGAGTTTTTTAAAGCAAATTGAATTCTCTACAACTTTGTCCTTTACACATTGTTTCTATCTTCAATCGTATGTGCAGTGTTTTCAAGAAAATTAAAAACATGAAAAAGCAAAATTTCTGTTCTGTTCATTATTTTAAATTAAGGTTGCTGCTTGTAATTTTTCTGTTTGTCTTATTGTCATCATTTAAGTAATACTTATTTATTATACAAGACGATAAAGAAATTGTTCATCTACGAGTGAAAAGGTTAAGTTTACGAGTGACGAAATAACTAGTGGACTTTTTCACGAGTGGATAATCAATCTTTATCGTCGAGTGAAATATTTCGTTTTACTTTGTGCTCACCTACCAGAATTTCTTGAATACAAACAGTAGACAAAAATCACTTTATTCAATCCTCTATCTTAAAATTGCATTTTATCTACTCTTTTCTTCATGTTAAAATGAAATTTTATCGTCTAGATAGTAAAAAATACATCTATTGTTGTATATCTGCGGTTGTTAGTTGCTAACGATCTTTGACATTAGATTTCATTGTTGAATTTTACTTTGACATTTATAAATATCGACCAAATTGACTACATAATTAGTGAGGATTGAATAAAATTTTATATTGTACACGACGATAAAATTTTCATTATCTTTTCAAGCATATTAGCGACTCGGCTAACGCCTCGACTCTAAATTGCTCTCAAAGATAAAATTCAATTTTATCGTCTTGTATAATAAATAACTATTATTTTACTAGACGATAAAAGATTACTTTATCTACTGAAATTCGTTAACAAAATATACAGGAGATAAAAATTACTTTATATCACTAGACGATAAAAGACTGCTTTATCTACGGAAATTAATTGTTAAAAGTACTCTTTAACGTTGAGTACAAAATAAAGCATTGTTTTTTATTTCGTTCCTCTTAAATTGCAGACACTACTGAGACTATAATTGAATGACAGCAATGGATTGAAAAAGCAATGATCAGAGTTAAAAAAATGTGTTTTTTTTTCAATTGGACAAACTGAACAAAATTTTATTCATAACAATTTTTTTTTAATTCCTACTAGTATATTATGAGTTGAGATAATAAATAGACAACATATGTATGTAACAACAGAAATAAGTGGTTGCATGTAATTACATCAAACGTTATTCTAGAGTTCCTAAGACCTATTACTGATTAAATTTTAATGATAATTGATTTGATATTAGTGTCTTTTGTGTAATAGCTATTATTACACTAATTTCAAAGAAGATAAACAACTATTAGACAAACTGAATATATGTATGTAATTTGCTAAAAGAGTTAATGTTTCAAACTTTAGAGAAATGCCAAATAAAGGAGATACAATGTCTGAAAGGTTCATTTCAACAAACCCAGAGAATACAAAACGAAACTAATTTCTACAGGGTTGGCAAAAGTTATGGTACTTAAATACAGGGTGCGTCAGAACTCGCGCCCCAGAGAAAAATGCCATGTAAGGTAAGATACTAGGAACATGGAAAAAATGTTAAAAAAATTTTATCTATAAAAATGTTGAAGTTATGAGAGTTTAAATTTTGCACTTTGACTCTACTTATTTCTGTTGGAAAAATACTTTTCCAAATTTTTTTGCTACAAACTATTAGAAGAGGAAACAAGGAAGCTGTATCCTAAATTGTATCTTTGTTTAATGTTATTTGTGGTTTTTATTAGCAAATTTTTTGTACCTTTACTAAATAATTATAGAAAAACATATAGGTACAAGATCATCAGTATCATTCAATTGACACAAAAAAATGTGAAATGAAAGAGATTTTTTTTTAACATTTTTTTCATGTTCCTGGTATCATATTTTACTTGAAATTTTTCTCTGGGGCGCGAGTTCTAGCGCACTCTGTATTTTAAAAAAGGTTTATCAAATCATATTGAAATTTGGCGATAGGTTAAAAGTATTTTAATTATATCTGAAATATTATGTTTAAAATTCTTCATATTTACTGCGTGGCGATAAGAAATACGTCAAACCAAATTTTATAAACAATGAAAATATTAGGAGAAATTTGGGCAATTAATTTTCAGCTGTATCCATACTGTATACAATTGTGCTTTACATTCAGCATGAACCAAGAATAAGTTTTCAGTTTTTTTTTCTTTTAATGTCGAAGTATATGGAATTAATGACTACCTTCGTCAAGGGTTTAAAAGAATGCAGTTTTTGTTTAAAGAATCAGATACCTACCTTTTGCATTTTGATATAAATATTTTCACATTTCCAAAAGATTATCAGCGTATGTTTGAGGATAAACTAGTGTAGCATTAGAAAAGAAGAGAAAATAAGTTATTAACCAACTCAGAGGTTACAACCTTTACTGCTAAAATACTTATTACACTAGAAGCCGACCGTAATTACGGTTTTATTACTAATAATTTTGTTAAATTGTTGTGTACCGCTCCCGCGTTAATTAATTTTAGCTACAATGTATTACTTTGTGCTTGCTGTACACATACATATTAGTATGTGTTATGTTATTAAGAAGCATATGCAGATTAGAAAGACAATCTTTAAAAAATTTTGATAACACATTTAGCAAAATCTGCAGCTTCAAACTTATTTTGTCAAGTTCTTCAGTTCACATTATTTTCTTCCTCTTCCATATTTTACTTTAAGTAATAGTTTCAGTTGTCAATAATGATGGATAATCTTGGCTCTAATTTGGTCAGTAGGGCTGATTTGTGACATATTCTTTCTTTACACAGAAATCAAATGTTTTCAGCAGTTCAGTTATGAGAACAAATTAAACATTATGTTATTAAATTAAATGCTAAGTACATTTGCTAAGTTAAAATTACTAAACCCTATCTGAAAATAGTAAACACTAGATGAAAATAATAAAGCTTTTTTATTGAAAACGGTTACAAAACAGAACGAAAAAGAAATACACATTAAATGCACAATATTGTACTTAAACGGTCAAATATTTTTGTTCAGTAAAAACTGTGAATATTTTGTAAAAGTACAGTTAAATAATAGATGCTCATTACTAATAAAATAAAAAGCACATCCATAAAATAATTGCAATTGTTCAGTAAAATAATAAATATTCAGTAATACAATAATAAATACCTAATATTTTTTCGCAGGGGTCATATACAGGGTGCGCGCCAGAACTCGCGCCTCAGAGAAAAATGCCATGTAAGGAAAGATACCAGGAACATGGAAAAAATGTGAAAAAAATTCTATCTATAAAAATTTCAAAGTTATGGGAGTTTAAATTTTGCACTTTGACTTTATTTATTTTTGTTGGAAAAATAATTTTCCAAGTTTTTTTGCTACAGGCTATTAGAAAAGGATACAAGGAAGCTGTCTCCTAAATTGTAACTCTGTTTAATGTTAGGTATTTGTGGCTTTTATTGGAAATTTTTTCAACTTTTACTAAATAATTATAAAAAAAAAAACATATACAAGATCATCAGTAACATTAAATAGACATAAAAATGTCAAATGTCAAATTTTTTTGACAGAGAAGTTTTTAAACATTTTTTTCATGTTCCTGGTATCTTAATCTTACTTGAAATTTTTCTCTGGGGCGCGAGTTCTGGCGCACCCTGTATGCATATGGATGGTTTAGTGCTAATTTTAAGTAAAAAATCGGTTATGTGTTTTTTTGCTGAGTTGACCAGAAAATGCCTTAAAGAATAAAAATTGGTTCCACTTTTTTACATTTAGCAAATCTTTGCTTAATATGTAGCACTACTACCTAGCATCTAAATTGTTTTACCAAGTATTTACAATATTTTTTACTTTTCTAGTAGCTGTTCTATGCTACCTTTCTCTTAAAACAAAAGAATATTTATATTTTTACTTCATTGTTATAATATGATTCTTTATGTTAATATGTGGGTAAATGAAGTATAATAGGAGCCTACCATCGATCGTTTACCTTTCTCGAGATTTATAGATAATTAGCACGCGAATATCATATTATTGATAAATATGAGTTCAAATAATGGATTAAAAACAAGAAAGCAATGATAAGAAAATACGATATGTATTTTGCCCTACTTCCATAATTCGTTTTCCCTGTATGTAGATTTTAATCTCGCTCAACTATTCTTCGTATAGATTTCGGCATAGTCCTCGGCTGCAAGCTCTTTGTCAAAGAGATCTCTTCAAAAGCCCGTGATCAATTACTCAACACTAATCAAGTCCTCGTCGAAGGCGACTTTATCACGAAAATCAACAACACAAACTGTAACGACTTAATGTCACTTAAAGAGGCTAAGAAAATCATCGACGGTACAAAAGATAAACTAACAATTACAATAGCACGTGACTACACATCGAATATTTCTCATCAAACACAAAGTTCTATAAGCACGACAGGCGCTGTTAACAATTTTTACAAAGGTGATGACTTTTTAACATCTCAGAGTTACTCGAATCAGAATTTGTACGTACAACCACCGACTAGAAATCCCAATCTCAATACAAGTGGAGGATTTGATGAGAAACTTGACCCTAATAGTGGGCCAAATTCGTTGGTTGATGATAAGAGCAATTTGGCACCCAGAGGAAGGTCAAGGGGGCCCTTATCTGAGGCTAATTTGAACCAGTTGGATAATAGGAATAGTTTAGGGGGGTATGGCAGATCGAAGGGGAGAGACGAACCGCCTAGACCTCCACCTCCACGAGCAGAAGGTAACTAGGGATTTGCAAAAATTGTTATTTTTCAGCACGTTTTTTTAGATTATTACAGTTCTCGGCGACAAATCTATGACGATGACCCGATTATCCAGAAAAAGCAACCGATGTAAGTATATTTTAATTTAGGAAATCACAGTAATTTCACTATTCCACTAGTTCTTATCATTCAATATAATTTTGATAAATAGTAGATTACATACCGAGGTGGGAGGTGTTTCCTTTACCAAGGCAATAAGCCTAGGTACGATGAATCAATGATCATCAAGGTTTGTATAGTAAATTACAGAGTGTCCCAGCAAATAAGTAAAGTCCAATATTGACCTTTTAAAATTTTAAAAGATGTATACAGGGACATTTTTAATTAGTATACATAGCCCTATGTATACAGTTAAAAAAACCGGGTCAATTTCATAAGATAGGCAACCAACATTTCAAGCTTTTAGAGGGTTCTAGATATTAAAATATAAAACTAAAATTTTGTGTCAAGTTTATCAACTGTCAGTCTTGAAACTTAAATCGCAGCTTTAAAAAGTTAATATACTCGTTTTCATATTAATGTGCATCGAAGTAGTCGTTGAAAGGGATCATTTTAAGGTGGCAACCATGCGAAAATTCAAACAATCGTAAACTCAATCTTCCCTAAAAATTATTTTTTCAAATAAATGTGTACTCCATGTAGCAAAAAATTGTTAAAATTAACAACGTAATCAACATAGGATAGGAAATATAAAGATTTTTGTCATTATTGATGTGATTAAATTTGTTTTGAATTGTTTTGACACTTTTTGTGTAAATTGGACTTTAAATTAAAGATTCATTTAGACTTCTACAACCTACTTGATGCACAATAATATGAAAAAGAGTATACCATTTGTGACACGATGTACATCAAAGAAGAAAAAATTGAAATGTTTGTGTGGTATCAAGGGGGAAATAGTTTAAGGAGGGTGAGGGCTAAGAATAGTCAGCATTGACACAAAATTTTAGTTTTAAATATTTTAATATCTAGTACCCTATAAAAGCTTGAAATGTTGGTCACCTACACTATGAAATTAACCCGATCTTTTTAACCGTATACCGGGTGTCCCAGCGAGTCGGTAAAGTCCAATATTGACCTTTAAACGATAAAATTTTATCACGTGTATATAAGAAATTGATAGATACTAATGTAGTTCATCGCCTAAAATTATTTTCAACTATACAGCTTGTCCCAAAAATAAGTTACAATACAAACTTGTGTTTTTTTAATGAAACATCATATGGTTCTCAGCATTTTTGGATGTAGATTTTTATGACAATGCTTTCAAACTAAACTTTTATTGGTCGATTTTGCCTAGTTTTAAAAATAAGACGGTTTTTTTGACGAAAACATGCGCTTTTTAAAAACTTCTTACACAAAAACCAAAAACTAAGACAGCTGGAACAATTTTTTTCTTACTTCTACAAAGAAGAAAGTACAGAATTTAAAGCTGTAGCAATTTTTTAGTGTTTTGCATTTGTGAAGATTAAAAAAATGAAGAGGTTTGTTAAAAGTTAAATAACTTAGATAATTTAAATAATTTACTTATTGTTTTTGCATCTAATAGACCGTTAAATTTTCTATCAGAAAACATAAACTTTTAAGTGTCTAGAATTGATAAATAAAAAAATATTTAACATTTAATATTAATTGTAGCAACAATGCCTAAATGTGATTATTAAGTGACTTTTCTTCCATTTTTTGTGCAACTGTGCACTTTTTGGCTATTGAGATAATAATTATTTTTTAATGTTTAAAGTTAAATATCTTTTTAGTTATGGATTATAAACACCCAAAAGTAAATGATATACAATTTAATAATCTCTTAAGTGCAAAAACAATAACTACTGTGTTCCATTTAAATTTTTTAAGTTATTGAACTTTTAACAAATGTTTTCATTTTTTTATCTTTGCAAATGCAACACAGTAAAAAAATGTTACAACTTTATAGCTTGTACCTTCTTCTTTGCGGTAGTAAAAAAATATTTCTAGATATCTTAGTTTTTATGTAATAATTTTTTATAGGTGGATGTTTTCGTCAAAAAGTCGTCTTATTTTTAAAACAAAATCGACTAATAAAAGTTTAGCGTAAAAACATTGTCATAAAAATCTACATTCGAAAATGCTAAGAAACATAAGGTGTGTCATTTAAAAAAACGCAAGTTTGTATTGTAACTTATTTTTGGGACACGCTGTAAGGTTAAAAATAATTTTAGGCGATGGACTGGATTAGTAGCTATCAATGTACTATATAATTTGTTTATAATTTTACCATTTAAAGGTCACTCACTAATGGTCTTCACCAACTTGCTGGAACACCTGTATAGTGATTTTTTACAAAAATTGATTAAAAAAAAAACTATTCTTACTGCTCTCTGCTAAATAACGTATTTAATTATTTTTTTTTATTAATTTTTTATAAAACTGACATGATTATGACAATATTTTTTTATTTATTGTCATAAAACTTTCTCAACCTACAGTAATTAATTTGGAAACTCAAATTTTTTGAAATATCTTCATTAAAAAATAAGAGACCATTGATTTTTTTTATTTTTGTCCTAGAAATCCATACTATAGCAAACAAAATATGTATAGGATTTAGAGTAGAAATTTGCAATTTTGATTGTTTTCATAGTTATGAAAATACATGTTATACAAGGCGCTATGATGGTCTATAAACATGTTATTTCTTAAGCAAGAGTACTGATTTGTAAAAAACAAATAGTTTTGTTTTTTATAATTTAAGTTAGGTTTTAATCGTACCAAGAAACACATTATATTTGCAGACCCGATGCTCGGTTCGTGACATTCCACAAAGAGGGGTCAGTGGGAATTCGTTTGACTGGAGGCAATTTTGTGGGCATTTTCGTAACGGCAGTCCAGCCAGGTAGTCCAGCGTCGCTCCAAGGTTTGCAACCTGGTGATAAAATCCTAAAAGTCAATGATATGGACATGACTGGTGTGACAAGAGAAGAAGCTGTTCTTTTTCTGTTAAGTCTCCAAGATCGCATCGAGCTAATCGTTCAATATTGTAAAGAAGAATACGACAATATCGTAGCCTCCCAAAAGGGAGACAGTTTCTATATCAAAACCCACTTCCATTACGATAATCCAGCAAAAGGTGAGATGTCTTTCCGTTCTGGAGACATCTTCCACGTCATTGATACGCTGTATAACGGAGTCGTGGGGTCATGGCAAGTATACAGAATTGGCCGTAACAATCAAGAAGTGCAAAAAGGAATCATTCCGAATAAAGCAAGAGCTGAAGAATTGGCAACAGCGCAATTTAACGCCACGAAAAAAGAAATGTCAGCAAACGAATCAAGAGGGAGTTTCTTCAGGAGACGAAGAAGCTCAAACAGACGTTCGAAAAGTCTGGGAAAAGAGCATTGGGATGATATTTTATTTTCCGACACTGTTTCGAAATTCCCGGCTTACGAACGAGTTTTACTTAAACATCCTGGTTTTACAAGACCTGTTATTCTTTTCGGCCCGATTGCTGACGTTGCAAGAGAGAAGCTTCTCAAAGATTTCCCAGATAAATTCATATCGCCTCGTAAGTTTTTCTCCATTTTGATTGTCGACTATATTCCAAAAACTTAAAAAACATTTTTTACATCTTCAGAAGTAAAGTTTTGACTTCTTTGTAGTCCAAGAGTACATAGAGTTCGAAAACTAACTAAGTATAGAAATACAGGGTGCGCCAGAACTCGCGCCCCAGAGAAAAATGCCATATAAGGTAATATACCAGGAACATGGAAAAAATGTTAAAAAAATTTTATCTATAAAAATTTCGAAGTTATGTGGGTTTAACGTGTGCACTTTGACTCTATTTATTTCTGTTGGAAAAATAATTTTACAAGAAAGCTGCATCCTAAATTGTAACTCTGTTCAATGTTATTTGTGGCTTTTAGTGGCAAAATTTTTGTCCCTTTACTAAATAATTGTAAAAAAAAAACATACAAGATCATCAGTATCATTAAATAGATATAAAAAAATGTCAAATGTGAAAAAATAACTGTCAAAATTTTTTGACAAATAGAATTTTTTAAACATTTTTTCATGTTCCTGGTATCTTACCTTACTTGAAAATTTTCTCTGGGGCGCGAGTTCTGGCGCACCTGTATTTCTCGTTGATTAGGTCCCAGTAAATTGCTTATGTGTTGCAGAACTTGATACAACAAATGAGGAGAATTCCAAATCGCAAAAAACTTCTTCAAACATTATAAGATTATCAGCAATTCGTGATGTGATTTCAACCGGCAAGCATGCCCTTTTGGACATAACTCCAAACGCGGTTGAAAGGTTGAATTATGCCCAAATTTACCCAATTGTAGTTTTTTTCAAAGCTGAGAGCAAGATTGTGATCAAGCAGTTACGTCAAGGCTTGCCTAAGTAAGTTTTTGTTGATGTTTTGAAATTTTGTGATAAATTCGAATTTAGGTCGGCCCATAAAAGCTCAAAAAAGTTGCTAGAACAATGCCAAAAATTGGACAAAGTCTGGAGCCACATTTTCAGTGCTACTATAACAATGAATGACAATACAGACAACTGGTACCGTAAAGTCCGCGACATTATCGATAAGCAACAAAGTGGTGCCCTCTGGATGAGCGAAAGCAAGGTAATTTTCTAAATTTGAGCTTTCTCAAGGTGATGGTTTCTTCTTTCTTTCAATTTTTCAGTGGGGGGCAGATATGTTTTCTGACATTTATTTCCAATACACCTGTAGACCTAACAAATCCAATTCCTTGCCTAACAGGTATAGACACTCTCGAAGTCGTACTAGAAGGGGGGTACCGCTTTCTATGTACAGTAGTCCCCAGTTTACTTATCCCGTGATACATTCCCAGTTCTCTCCGAGTCAGAGTAGTTTGTACAGTTCGAGTACCGGTCTGCCATATGCAAGTACTATTCCTTACTTTGACGCTTCCGCTGATTGGTTTAACGCTAAGCCACGTGTTGCACTAACAGAGAATGCTGAGAATATTAACAATTTTGATGAACCCCTCTATTACGAGTGTAACACATTTCCTAGATGTAGAAATTTTAACAGCACTTTTCTTCCAATCAAGGAGGAGGTTTTTGGAGAAATCTAACCACAACAATGCATGCTTTTATGTATATCTGGATTTTTATGCACTTAATATGTCAAATTTTGATTTATTTCTAAAGTATGTTTTTAATGGAAATTAACAAGTTCAAATTTTTTAACATTTATGTAACTCTTTTATCCAATGAAAACGTGATTCTTGTGAGAATAATCTAGTTTCAGTATTACCGTGAGAATAATTTTGAAGTACAAAGTGGTTATAAATGATTTTCATCTAGCCAGCTGTGAATTTTCCATGTAGAATAAAAAATGCCGCTTTACGAAAATAGGGGTATCTACTTGTTTTAACTCAAAATTAAAAAATTGCCGTTTACTAAGCGTCCACTTCGAACGTAGACTTATTGTTTTTTTTATTGTTGTTTTCTTCCAAAGTATTATTATTATCAATTATTATTGGAAATTAGTTGAAACAATAAAAGTTTAATTAACAACAATTTATTATTAATTAATAAGTGACACTAATGACAGAACTAGAGGTTTCAAAAAAGTAGAGCGGCACAAATAAAGTTACATGCAAAGCAGGCTAGATGAAAATCTTTTATAACCACTCTGTATTTTGTTTTTATTAAATAACAACGTATTTTTTTATTTGATTTCTGATGTACGAATATGACCGAAAATGCTTCCTAACTGAAGATGACAAGCAAAAGGTATTTTTTATTATCTCACTAAAAGGTTGAGATGTTAAAAAAATTTTTGTTTGTGAAAACTACCGGTGCTATTAATAATTGTGTTTCTTAATTACGGGAAAGAAGGCACTGGACCACAGTTTAAGAAGTAAAATTTCATTTTGGAAGAGGATTTTTGAAAATTTTCTAACGGATTTGGATTTATTAATGATATTAAGTATTTCTGTACGACACTTTCGTTTTCGAGTATTTTACTGAAGATCGTATTAAATCGTGTACCAACTGAAGTCACGATTTGCTTTAGCTAAGAAAACCAAAAAACAATACTCGTATTTTATATGACATAAATAAAAGAGTACTCTTCCTGTTGTTACCTAATATTAATATGTCAATATGTATGTAGAAAAACACGTGATTTCTTTTAAACGATCTCGAGTTTGAACTCTAACTCTCTTTGGAAGCACTTCCGGACATAGGTCCATAGGAACATTTTTTCTTATTTTGACCTAAGGAACCCCGAAATATTTTAACGTTTTTTTATCGGACATCCTGTATATATTAAAGGAAAGTTCCTGATTGTAATGTCTAAAAACAATTCATCGAATACCATACGAGAGTTTGATAAATTAAAAAATAATTATCCAGAACATTTCTCAAATGTGTTGGTACTCATCAATAGCCACTCAAGCCTTTCGTGTTTTCTTATCTATTGAGCTCTAAATTGTTGGAGGTTCTAAATCCTCTTTCAGCCTTTGTTTCGAAACGGTCACTTCTTAACTTCTTAAGGATGTTTGGTATTTCCGTTAGAAAAATACAGAACTTGTAATAAGTCAATAAAAATTAAGGAGACAATTGTACATAAAAACTCGTAAAATTTTTAATGTCTCTTCAGGAAGTAGAAAGATTTAAGCACGATTTTAAAAAAATATGCATTTAAACTTTATTGTATTTGAAGTATAGTAAAATCGTTTTACTACTAAAAATTTTATTACTTTTAAGTTAAATGCGGTATTGTTAGGAGTAAACCAGAGGGTAAACAAATCATAAATTAGTGGAACCCACCCGGACCTGAAACAAGTCAGTTTTTAACAGGGCCGGATTACTTACTTTCTTTTTGTCTAAAATACTTGAAATGTTTTAATAGTTTTTCATGTAGTTGTTATTAAAGTCAAATATTTTAAGAAATTTAAAAAAGCCAGGTGGTTATTAACAAGCTATTATTAAATAAGGCTGATTTTTTTTTAATAATAGCTTGGTAAAACTCTACCACTACTTTGGTTTTAAATACGGCCCTGTTTTATTCTAGTGGGTGCAGCAACACTTGCACAAAGGAACGTGCCATTTATGAAGAGTTACAAATTCAAGCCATTGTTTGGTTAATCCCTTATAATGTGTCATAAATTTTTAGTGGGTTTTAGGAAAACGATTTTACTATACGAGTATGTATATGTCGTAGTCATTGGGCGTAATACGTCATTCCGCGGAAAGCCTCGTCTTTGGCCGTTCTGCCGGCAGACGCTGTAATCAAATGAATATTCCTTTGTTTGACTGAAATTTTACGTCATTTCAGGGATTGCCCACTTAATTTTAGTCAAACTAAGTAACCGGTTAAACCACTACATGTTTCAGCGTTTGACGAAAGTGTATTTAGTCATTTGCTGAAAAGTCTTGAAATGTTTGATACTTTCTGTAGAAATGTAAATTTTTGGTAGAAGAAAAGAAAAGCCAAAAAACTAAAATATTTTTATTGTAGCAAAATATTTGTTTCGTTTATTTGGAATAATGTAAACATATAATATTATAAAATCATACAAAAAACGTTAAGTACATGACCTAAACAACAGATAAAAATATATTTTTTGCCTTCAGGTAAATTAAACAAAAATAAAGATATATTCTTTAGAAATCTTTTGCAGCCTAAAATACGTACAACTGAAATAAAGATGTATTTTGAGGTTAGAAGTCTTTTACCTCCTTGATTACTTCATAATTTCACGGTTTTTTGGCATCTTTGTTTTCCAAATAATATTCATTTAATTTGTCATAAAACAAAGTCTTATGATTATTAATTTTCCAACAATTACTAAATGTTACAGCCCGAAATACTACACAATAAAATTTCAAGCTTTCAGCAAATGACTAAATACACTTCCGTCAAACGCTGTAACATGTAATGGATTAACCGGTTACTTTGTTTGACGAGAATTATTTAGGCAATCCCTGAAATGACGTAAAATTTCAGTCAAACAAAGGAATATTCATTTGATTACAGCGTCTGCCGGCAGAACGGCCAAAGACTAGGCTTTCCGCGGAATGACGTATTACGCCCAATGACTATGACATATACATATAAACGCTGATATCTACAGGTATAATGGAGTTATAATAAGATAATAAGAAAGATATTTATTTGCATAAAAGACCAGCAATACATTTATGTAGATGTACTGGTTAATACTCACTACATCTTCTTTCATGGCTACATTTGTATTTAACACTGTTTGCTCGCTTTGTGTCGTTTTTGAGGATTGTTTGTGTTGTTTCCAATACCTGTTTTATGTCATTCATCGTCATTGTCATCGTCATTTTAGCCTGAAGAATCACTCTCAGATGATTTCCTGTTCCCAATGTCATCTTTGCGACTATCATACGCTAGTAGTCCTGAAAGTGACTTGGAGCATAGTCCTGGCCCTCCAGTATCTTCAAATTCGCCAACAGCTGGTCGCTTAACAAAAGCCAGTTCTGATCCAAGTGTCGTAATGCCTGATAGCAGCACTACCGATGTACTACCCCCATATCAGGTCTATTTCTTATTTTCAAATCAAGCTTTTACAAACTTTTAAATTTTAGCCCAATTATGACTCTAGGTATGGTTTTAACAACAACCAATCAATTGACCAAGTTAATTTGACCAAAGAACCTAACTATACATTGTCTAATCAAGATATTCCTGGTAGTTTAGACCAGTATGGCAAAAGTGGACTTTATAATGCCCAAATGGATACTAGAAATGATTTTGGAAATGTGCAGCATAAGAGACAAGTTAGTAGTCTTCATCATGGGTCTTATAATCATCCCAAGAGTCATAGCATAAATGAGCAAAGTCCTCGAAGAAGCCCTAAGGACGGAGTTTATGGGCAAGTGCCCGACTTGCCACCTCGCATTGATCGCGCAATCAAACCAATTAGTTTATTAACCACACCAAGCAAAATACCCAATGGGTCAGTTTGTGTTTTCTTATCAAGTAGTTGTGATAATATTTTTTTTAGCCGATCGGCCCATGAGAGGCTTTTTGGTACCAAACCTGGGCAACCTATGGACAATTCAGAACAAAATAATAACGATAACAATAATTTTAGTAACAAGTTGGGTTCTTTAGACCGGAGTCAGAATTCAAAATCGGTAAGTAGCCTAGTCAAATTAGACAAAAATAGGGCGATCGGTGGAAACAAATCCTAGAGAGTTGTATTTTTTTTTTAAACGCTTTCTTTATTGTTATATAGATATATATCAAAAGTCCTCGAAGGTGGGGGGCGAGCTCGAGGAAGGGGAGGGGGCTAAAGGTGTCTTTTTTTGTTTTTTTGCTTATATCTCGGAAACTATTACTTTTAACGGTTTTTGCCTGCTTATCAAAATTAAAGCATACAAAATTTCCTACAAAAATGGTCCTTTGCATTTTTGTTGTAGGACTAACTGTAAGTGAGTTATAGGGCTGACAAAAAACATCATTAAAAAATGTGCTTTATCCGCATTTAAAACAGAATTAATCTTGTTATTTGAAAAAACTGTAAGCAAAATGAGTTTATTGGCTGCAACAACAACACAACAAGTCTTCCGAGTCGTCACCATACGCTGCATCTTCGATTCTTCGTCTTCAACTTAAACATTGAAAACCGAATTAAGTCTTGTTCAGTACAATATTAATAAATAGATGATTTAATATCGATGATTTGAATAAAGCTTACAGTAAATTGAATGTATAGGATCCAACAGTTTATTAGAGGGTGTCACGAGGGTCTATTAAGTCTTCCGAGTCATCCTTATATGCTGAACTAGCATTTGCCTGCGACTTTGTCCGTGTGTATTTCTGATATAAAATGGGAAAAAGCCCGTTCACCAAACCATTCTATAGGCTTAGGTACTCTATAAAGCTAGATAATATGTTATGTATAGGACTCAGTTATAGTAGTCTCGTGAAGACATGGGACAAGGCATGGGCTATGTTTATGGATAAATATTAAATGTTGATTTTCATAAAGTGTCGTCTCAGTGTACTTCTGCACTCTCAAAATTCGAAATTTCATGTTTCTAATTTTGTTTTTAAGCGTTTAAACTCTACTTTATTTCATTAAAATTTGAAAAGTGCACTTCTACACTCTCTAAGGATCATATTTTCTAAATTTAATGTTTTTATATCCCTTTAAATGTGTACACCGTTTTATTCCCTTAAAAACTAATTTTCGAAAAATCAGATTTTAGTGCCCCTTTACACCTCTGAAGAATTTTATGTTTATATCTTTGTTTAAACATTTACACCCCATTTAACCCCCTTACAGATTGATTCTCTCTTTCATCCAAAATTTTTATTTATACAGGGTTATTCATAAATATGAAGCAATATTTGAACCTTAAAAATTACCTATCAAATGATGTTAATTTAAATAATAACTCGTGTCCTATCTCTACTGATAAGAATTTTACAGCCCTCGGAATGGGGGTATGGAAATGTAATAACTTTGGAACTATTTGACCAAATATTATAAAATTTGGAACATTTCCCTGTGACAACATACCCTTTAAACTGGTAATCACGAAAACCGGATACATCCACTCAATTTTCGGTTCCAGCAGTTGCAAGTCACATTTTCTGTGTTTTTCAATTTTTTTGCTTTCTTAACACCAATTTTTTATTGCCCAAATTGATAGAGTAATAAATTTCGATTAAAAAACGCATAACCTTTAATACCCCTAAAATGGACCGTTTCAAAGATATTTTAATTTAAACTGAGGACTGCACAACGCTGAAACCAAAAACTAGGGATTTTGGTAACAAATGACCATGGTCTCACTAATCGCTGTCAGGCATCTGTCATCTTTGACAATTATTATACAATTAATCGAAAATATTTAATAAAAGAGTTTACCTCAGATTCCAAACATAACTTAGAATAAATCCAAATGGATCTCGTTGCATTTAATTCATAAAAAATTCACAAAAATTTATCGTCAAAATTAACAGATGCCTGGCAGGGATTTATGTGACCATGGTCATTGGTTGTCGTGGATACCACTTATTCAAAATCCCTATTTTTTGATTTCAGCGTTGTGCAGTCCTCAGGTTAAATTAAAATATCTTTGAAACGGTCGATTTTAGGGGTATTAAAGGTTATGCGTTTTTTATTCTAAATTGATTACTCTATCGATTTGGGCAATAAAAAATTGGTGTTAAGAGAGCAAAAAAAATGGGAAAACACAGAAAATGTGACCTGCAACTGCTGGAACCGGAAATTGAGTGGATGTATCCGGTTTTCGTGATTACCAATTCAAAGGGTATGTTGTTACAGGGAAATGTTCGAAATTTTATAATATTTGGTCAAATAGTTCCAAAGTTATTACAAAAAAATCAAATACCCACATTCCGAGGGCTGTAAAATTCTTATCAGTAGAGATAGGACACGAGTTGTTATTTATTATTATTATTTTATAGGTCATTTTTGAGGTTCAAATATTGCTTCATATTTATGAATAACCCTGTATCTCCGTTTAAATGTTTACAACCGAGTCACCTTTCAGGCAGACCAGCTTAGTTGAGGTACACTCTACACATATAAATACTTACCATATACTAATGAAATGTGTTTCAAGGGATTTTTAATGCAATTTTATGTAGACTCCAAACTTTTGACGCCTACGTTTAGTCCTACGACAAAAATGAATAGGACCATTTTTGTAGAAAATTTTGATGCAGAAATAGACTTCTACAGAAAATTCGGCGTAAATTACATAAGCAATGAATTTGTATTTATAGACCCTCGTGACACCCCCTTCCTTTAATGAAGTATTGAACCCAGTAAATTCAATTTACTGTCAGTTTTTTTTTTAATTACAAGACTAATTCTGTTTTAAATGCAGATAAAGCACATTTTTTTAAATGATGTTTCTTTTCTGCCGTATAACTCGCTTACGGTTAGTACTACAACAAAACTGCAAAAGACCATTTTTGTAGGAAATTTTGTAACTTTAATTTTTTTTTAATTTATTTGAAGATAAAAACCTATAGGAATCATAATTTCCGAGATATAAGCAAAAAACCAAAAAAGACACTTTTAACCCCCTTCCCCTCCTCGAGCTCGCCCCCCACCATCGGGGACTTTTGATATATGTCTACCCAAGTGTAAAGAAAGCGTTTGAAAAAAATTCCAACTCTAGGATTTTTTTCCACTGATTTGTCTAATTTGACTGGGCTAAAGTATCCGTAAAAGATTTGATTTTTGTGTAATTCTGGTCATTTAGGACTCACTTTCGAGTTACGATTCATTCAATAAACAGACGAATAATCGAATAGGACCGAATGCTCACGACGATCTTAAGACTACTTTATCCAAAATCGAACCAGGCTCCGTCCAGAATAGTCCATCCAAATACAATTCTGGTCCCCGATGGGACCAAAACCCTCAGAGACACAATTCGAAGCTGGATCTGAAGTATGGCCTGCCTCAGAATGATCACAACGACAACAGTCCTCGAAACTCTCGGGAACTGGATAAAGAACCGCGACCAATGGAAAATATGAGCCCCAGAGGATCAGTCGAACGTGATATTTATAGATACTCGAGGTCCCCAGCAAAGTCCAAAGGTCACGTGGAGACTAAAACAGATTATGGAAAGTATAGTCGGAACAACAGTTCTGCACAGGACTACGCCAGGAGTTCGCATCAGGATTTGAGTCAGTCGCATTTGAGTGTACATCAAGTGCCTCCCCATCACCACTCGCCCATGAAGAGCCCACCGGTGCATCACAATGGGTTCGATAATGGTGGTCACATGGGACCTCCGAATGGTAATGGTTACAAACCGGTGCCTCCACCAAAACCGAAAAATTACAAACCGCCATATAAAGGCCAACAGGGTTACGGGGACGGAATGGTGCAACCACCTATGCCGACATATCAACATGGGAAAAGTCACAGTAATCCTGTGGTAAGTTGTTTATTTTTTTGTGTTAGTTGGTTGGCGGCACTGAGCAATACTCTCTGAGCTGTAGGGAAAATTTTATATGTACTACAAACGCTTACGATGTTACTTATGATCAGCGTTAAATATGACCCTGGGTTTAAGTGATCAAAGTGGGTTGTGACTTTAAAATTAAGTTGGCAACATTGAATTATTCATAATTCTTGTAGCTACAGTTTAGTTTATTTCAGACTATTTCAGTGCCTGTCGCTCCTAAATGAATGATAATTGACTACAAAATTGTAAAGTTTTTATTTGATAATCATTGTTGCCAACCTTAAAGTCATATGCAGAGTGTACCAGAACTCGCGCCCCAGAGAAAAATTTCTAGTAAAGATAAGATAAGGAAAAATATTTAAATGAGGAAAAAATGTTAAAAAAATTCTGTAAAATTTTTTTGACATTTGACACTTTTGTATGTCTATTTAAAGACTGATGATCTTGTGTTTTTTTTTTTTTAATTTTTTAGTAAAGGTACAAAAATTTTGCCAATAAAAGCCACAAATAACATTGAACAGAATTACAATTTAGGATACAGTTGTTGTCTCTTCTAATAGCCTGTAGCAAAAAAACTTGGAAAATTATTTTTCCAAAAGAAATAATAGACTCAAAGTGCAAAAAAATTAAACTCTTATAACTTCGAAATTTTTGTAGTTACAATTTTATTAAAAATTTTTTCATGGTCTTGGTTATTACCTTACATAGGATTTTTTTCTGGGGCGCGAGTTTTGGCGCACCTGTATGTTTAATTGAAATATTAGAGAATAATTCAAAATACATAATACATAATAGAGAATAGATTTGGTGAATTTTTTGAAATATAGGTTGTTCCTCCCACCAAAGAATCAAGTGATGTTTTATTCCTTCCTTTTTTACTAATAATCTAGTACTTTATTCCATTGGGAATAAAATAAGTGAAATACTCTTAATATAAACTGGAATTGAATGAATTGAATTTCTTGAGTGTTTTTTTTTTTTTAAATAAACAAATTTTTTTATATCTGCCCATTTTTACTCTTAAAATTGCAATTGAATGAACGTACAGTCGAACAAAATGAAAATGACGCTTCAATAAACCAGCCCCTGCTGTGGATGCCGACCCTTCTAACTGCAAGCAGGATCGTAAATTATCGGATTGCAAACTTGACGTAGTTTCAAGATAAATTCCTTTAGGAGCCGGTTTACAGAAAGCGAAATGAAAATTTAGTTCACAATTATTAAACTAATTCGAATTAAGTCGCCATTTATTTTGCATTGACAAAAGTCAAGTTAAATGAAAATGTAATTTTTTTAATGAAAAATTTAACAAACCATTTCTTGAGGAAAATTATGCATTAGGTAATGATGACATTGACGAAAATACAAATCATTACTTATTTAATATTTTTTTAACTGTTTGAAAATAAAATTATTTTATAAATTATTTATTTTACATAAAATCAAGTTTAAAATAGAGAAAGCCTATTTCGTACAAAAATTATGTTACTTAATTTAATTTT